AGTTGAACAGTCCATGGTTTTGTCAGTGGGCGTGATACTACCCGATTGCCCAGGCCGAAGTAGGGAGTTGTCTTAGGGGACTCTACCCCGAGCCTTTGGCTAAACAGCCTGCCCGAAAGGCAGTGGAGCGATTGCGAGACTGAGTTAGTCTGACCCCTTACCACTGAACAGTCTGGGATGAGTGGCTCTGAAGGCACTTGAAAGTGCCACTCAGCGTAGCTCAAAGGGTCACAGGGGTACACAAACCAATGCAGCACGTTAAAATCGTCTTTAAGTTACTAACCTCTGTCGTTCTGCACAGACTCAATGGCACCCGTGAAGGCCAAATGTGCGTGAAGAAAGCAAGCTTTTGACGAAATCGAGGCTGTATTGACCACATCGTAACATTACGCCCATTTTTGAAACACTGCCATATTTATTGGCGACCCACCGCAGTCATGTTCCTCAATAGCAAAATTGCTTTGGATTCGGTGAGACTGCTCAGGTAACATGGGCCCCATAAATATGTGAACGTCATCAGAGCGATTTAAACACGTAGTACGAGTAGAGTGAGGGCTGATGGCAAACTGTCGCCGCCCTTGAATATCTCCTGAAATAACGTTACCTGCTGTCACCTTTCCTCTCGAACTTCCCCATTAACAACGTCATGGAAACAGCGTTCGCTGGACACAACCTACAAGGTGTGGAGCTGCCACCTGGCGAGCGACTTCTTGACTTGGAGTCTGCTGACGACATTGCCCTCATAGGTGACAGCGCCCAAACGTGCCAAACAGCACTGGACAGATTAGCATTGGCTGTTTCGGGCTAGGCTTTGCACCCTCAAAATACAAACTCCTTCCACAAGATCGGTCAAGATCATTGGTGGTGATCAGCCAGTCGACCGGAAATTCAAGTATCCAGGCAGCCATATTAACACCTGTGGTATATAAGTTGAGGTCACGAAACGTATAGAAAAGCTCTAGATGTTTTACCAATCCCCACCACCTGCGTTATCCGCGCAACCGGATTGTGGATGGAAGAAGGTGAGGGGTGACCAAACGAGGACTTGGTCAAAATAAATGAAGACCCTCACTTCGAATTTGGCGTCGGTTGGTGTCTCCCACTTCCGGGCTGAAGACCGAAAAATGAACTCGTTTGCTTGATTAAATTTGTTGAAATGAAAGAGGAAAAAGGAAAGGCATCAGCAAGTACGCCGGTACGCGGTACCGACGCTTCACTGCAACGGAATCACCAGCAGTCACACGTCGTCTAAGGATCATGCGAGGGTCACCCGGTCCATTACGTAGACACCAACCCACGACCTTTGGATTAGAAGGAAAGCGTGTGACCCTTTCGGCCACGGGCCAGCATGGCGAAGAACCAACCTCAATGGCGTTTGTGTTGAGTTTCTTTGTCTCTCACCATCCCTCTTCGCTTCCCCCCCAATCACGATTTTATATTCCATGGATAAAATGATGTTAGCATTATGTTACCGGTATTTTTAATTTTTGGCATGCTGAAATGTTTAGTGTTTACCTTTTTCATATTTCATGCAGCCAATTCCCTTCAGAAATTTTAAAAGAGCAAGAACAAACAACGTAGGCGTGGGATAACCTGAATTCAGATCATTTGGTGTCTTCTCAATCAGCCGGTTACAGACAAATCGTGTAAAGAGTAGAGGAATGCAATTGTAAATGGGATCAATAAGGGAATCGGTAAACAACGAGATCATGGTCATCTGCAGTCATGATGTGGCCTACGTCCCACCAGGGCAAGGCAGGATTGTCCAGGGAACTGGGCTATTAGTGGCCTTAAACTTCATGCCAGCTCGATCACTCAGCATCTGCTCGATTGCATCTAGTGCGAAAACCCACCTGAAGCATTCAAGATTATCAGCAGACAGAACAACCCGAGTTTGCTTCGTTTCGCTGAGACCTCCGCCATCCGGCGAATGAAAACTAACCTTTGCAATATTGGCTTACCCTGGTAAGTAGTGTTACATTATGACTAGAGGTGATCTTGATTTCCTCGGTGTTTATTGATCCCCTATGCGATTGCACTCCTTCACTCTTCCCACGCTTTAGCTGTAAGCAGCTGATTGAGAAGAAACGAAATAATCCGAATTCATCTTATCCCACACAAATGTTTTTCATATTTCTTATCTTTTGGATTACAGCACAACAGCTGAAGTGCGTTCGCGTTTTCAGCTGACGTGTAACAATAATAATAATGTCGGCTAAGCTGAGCATCTATAATCCTATCGTAGAAGTGCAAAGAATCCGAGTGATATGAACCACCTCTATAATATAAAAATATTCCTGTTAATAAACAACTGTAAAAGAAGAAACAGGTAAACGGTTAGACAGAATTCGCGGTGCCGAGAGTAAGCCATTCATTCGTTTATTCATTTATTTATTCAAACAGGAACAAATGGAAACGCAAGAGATTGAATGCGAAAGCACCACGTGTTATGGGGACCCAACGTTCCCATAATGATCACAACTCGATTCAGTCATGTGCACAGATTTCAATCAGCCTCCTAACTCGTGAGACATTCACATGTCGATTAGCTTTTGTACCTGAGAAAAAAATTCCTGTTTCCGGCCAACCTTCACAACCATGAAACATTCAACCTTTTTTTACCTAAGTAACATGCATTTTCCTAGTCCAGCCGCCGCATCTACCAACATTTACGATTCGACATGACGCCAATTCAGTTGCTTATGCCTTGCTCCCATGGCCTGCTTACGCAAACCATTTTATGTGACAATTCACATATGTTACAATCGAGGTATAAAAGAAAGGCTGGACTGCGCTGTAATCGCCTTGAGCCTGGCCAGTAAAAGTGCCAATGTGAAGGGCCTGTGTTTGTCTTGTTCTCTCGGGTTGGGTAGCTGCATGTGAAAATGCGTTCGGTCTAGGAGCCCGTCCAACTTCGTGTAGAAAACGTGCTGCGACTAAGTCCACGAGTCGTACAACTTCGAATTTTGTCGGTTACCGTGCCATGCGTGAAATAGCTCCAAGACACATGTGTTCGTTGGTTTGTTAGACTAGGAGAGTTGATACCAGATTTTCAGAACGTCGCGTAACAAAGAGGAATACATAACACCACGAATGCGCAATAACGGATAGTGTCAATGCTAGTCAATCAAGCGGCCAATCCCGTGGGCACCACACAGGAGAGAGGGACGCACCAAACGGAATAAGTCTTTCAGTCAGTTTTCGGGAACCTAATCGTCATGCCGCAAGTTGATCACACCAAGTTTCAGCTCAACCAGACCTCCTATTGACAAGTAGGGCACAGAGAAAATCTCCCATGCATGAGTATACCAGCAGTTTAGGGACTGAACTCTAACATTCAGACCCAGTTAGTCATTCGGATAAAGTAACAGTAAAAACGAACCAAAGTTATTATCTTGGTAGTAAGTTGGTCCGAATAAGATAGGTTTCCAGACTCCTAACTGGTGCCCTGTTGTATGCCATAACACGCGAGACTGGGGTAGTACAGTGTATTGGTAAAGTGAACACGACGAAATACATCAGGCAAGAATGATAAATCCGAAAAGCACACGATAATTGACTGTTGTAACATGTAAAAATTCATCACAGCAAAAACACATCAGGCGCAGATTTTTACATAGTGGGGATCGCATGGTAGACGTGCAGAGTTGGGTTGAATATTGATTAGGATGCTAGAGTTGACGGTCGATTAGTTAAATAACGCCGTCACGGAAGGTGGTAGAGTAATTACAAGGGAAAGGAACTTAGGTACACTATTTTTAACGAATAAAGAAGGGTTCTCTAATATAAAAAGCAAACAGAATGTTACTGTAATGACAGATGTGGATTACGGTAAAAGTAAGGGGTGCACAAATTGATTTTGTACGCACAGCTCCGGCTTGCGTGGTGGGTACAGACAGTTTCAGTGACAGATAGATGTTTAGGGAATCAGCGCGACAATCGTTCAGGAATAGGACAGATAATCATAGAATCGTTTACAGAGCCTGAGTGACCATACTCCAGGAGGTGCCACATGGTAGAGCTGTTAGAAGACGTCGCTTCACCTCTGTAAAGTCATCTCGGGATGTGCTCTAAAATCTTATGAGATAGGCACCTCGTAGTACGACTCACGTATTGTGGTGTACTACACGAGCACGAGTACTGAAAAAATGAGCAGTTATCGATTTAACGAGTGCAGTCTATCCTACAAGTATTTTGCGAGTAAACTTATGTTGTAGTGCATTATGCGTCTTCTATATGCAAACAGAGTCTTTCATGCATTTGGCATCAGCAGCAATGTAGCTTTTGTCTGGTAAATGCACAAAATGTTTTTTCTTGGGTACGTTAATCATCTGTGGTTATTGCTTACGCTCCTTCAGATGTTTGAGGAGGAATTTATCTGGGAACGTTTTCAGCCGTATTGAATACCGCAAATGGGCGAGTTTGGATACATTTACACTTTGCTAGGTGAGCAACATGTTCATTAGTCCACAGTCGTTGATAAGTTGCTGCGCCCTTACTCTGTACCAATGAGTTGGATTTACGAATCATGAAGTGCAATTTTCCTTAACTAATTTACAGTGGGGGAGAGAATCGTCGCTAATGTGAAGGATAATGAAACAGAATTTCTCTAGCACTGAAAGATTTTCGAGAGAGCTACAAAGTGCGACCTAATGTATCACGGAAGTGAACAAACTATCGCATCAAACTGAGATTCAGTCTAACCACGATAAAATCACTCTCAGAAAAGAACTGATCTTTATCCGCATCAGGTTCAGTGACTTTTGAGTGCTTGAGTACCAACACACACTGTCATCAGCGGCAGTGATCCTCTTAGAAACTGCCTAGTACAAAACTGGCAGTGAGTTATGACATGAAGTACACAAGAGGGTTAAAGCGTATCCACATAAAAATCTCAAATCGGTAGTCTAAGGGGGGGGGGGTAAACAATAGTCTACTAACGTAATGCTCAGGGCAGAAAAAGGGAGTGAAAAAATGCTTCAGTACGAGGGTACTCTCACCTCGGTCCATTTTAGAACTCGGCCGACGAGCCCAAGACAGACCACGCCTGCAACGACCCCAGTGGCGAGTAGCTGCAAACGAACGCCCAGCCACGAACCAGCAGCCAAACTCGCTAGATCAGCTCGTACTTGATTTCCGATGTAAGTAGTGAAAAGTTGGCGGAAACGTGACTCTTGGCGAAGACCTCTTATAACGGTGAGACCAGATAAAGTGTCCGAAAATAGACTATACACAGGAGACCGGCTGACACTGGAAAACGGAGTAGCAATATTGAGTGAACCTCAAAACGCAAACGGAATGTAAGGTAACCAATGTAAAATCGGGATCAGCGGAAAAGTTGGATGAAATGGAAACAGTAGAAATAGAAAAGGTTGGGGTAGCATTTAGAATAGATGTTGAACACAACAGCCGGTACCTGGATATGCGTTTCAAATCGCGCGCGGCTCCTCGGTAGAGATTTTGAACGGACCAGAAAACGAAAGTTAGCGGCAATAGGAGGAAAATTAAAAAAGGTAAAGCTATACAGGAAATGATGATCACTCCAATTAATGCAGCAACGTTGGCCAGGAGTATATTCAACACGAAAGGAAGTGAGAAGTCCACCGTGCCCACGTCCGAAGAGAAGCGATTCAAAATACGCCCCTGTGGAGTGTAATCGAAGTAGGACAAGCGGGCCTGAGATTAAAAGAATTTAAAGTTTGGTTAGATGAAGAAATAAGTTGATCTTCCAAGAATGACAATTGGAAGTTTGGATACGGAAAAGCACATCATGAGGAAATTCGTCAAGTACCGCAAACGCGTGTTAAGTGTGATAAACGGTGACAGGAGTGCCGATAAAACACGGTATGACTGGCTAGGGAGACTGTAACGAGTATCCAGGAAGTTAAAGCATCGGGGCTGGGAACCGAAAGACTACGCATCCTGAGACATCCATCACAGTGTGCAGGCGAGTGTGGTTGGTCTTTGGAAATCATGGTTCACACAAGAGGCAGCCAGTGTGCCTCTACCATCGCCAATAGATTGGATTGAAGACAGATACGGGGCACAATCATCCACGCAAATGGATCTTGGCATGGTCGAATAGCGTTAACAAGCTTCGATAATAATTAGTTGGTTGGTAAGTTCCATTCCAACTAACACCAAGTACAAGAGATTTTAACAGTACAGGAAATGCTGTAGTTAAAGACGCGATCTCAGAACCACTGCTAGAAGCATCTTGCAGTCGCGAAAAGCGACACGCGAAGCGCAATTTCAAAAAATCTCCTCAGACACCTATAAGCATGAATTGAGTCTCAGTCAGGTCCATGGGTTATTTCTAGTTTATCATAAACCTGATGGATCGCAGCAAAAGGAAGAATTAGAGGACGCATAAACAACGATCAACAAACTATCTTCGGTTGAGCACGTCAGACCATACTTTCCAAGAATAAACGCCATAGAAAATCCATGGAAATTAGAGAATCCCAGCAAGTCACTGGCGATTATCATGATGACAATGTTTCATGCTTTGGTTCATACCTTAGTGATATGATTTGTGCCAGCCCTAGCCATCAAGATGCGTTCGTTGAATTTAAAATCGACGAAGTGAAAAACGAGCAGTTGCTATCTATGCAAGAGGCAGAAGTTGAGAACGAAATAAAAACGGCTAAGTAGCGGTTGGAATTGGAACATAATTATAAGGTTAGTAGTTCCAATCGGGGACGATCAGGAATGAGTTCGGATCTTAGAAGCTGTGCCGATGACCCTATTCATGACATAAGTGCCCGATTCGATGTATCGCGTAGATCAAATGGTAGTGAACTTCAGGTCCACATTTTGTTATTTCTGCTAAAGTAAGCTTATTGAATGTGTACGTTACTGCACACAAGTTCACAATCTTTTGGTCTGGTGCTCACTATCATGGTGACAACTTGCACTTCATGTCCTCTGCGCCAGACATAGAGAATGTGGATTGCTTCGTGACCGAATAGTGCGGCCGCCACAGATTCATCCCAACATGTATCTACAGCTTCCTACAGCTTATCATATACTAGTGCTTCCTTGGAAGTTAGAGAAGTTCATCAGGAGATGAAAACTGTTGTGATCAGTGAAAGTGATGCTACATCGTGTACTCATGAAGTCCAATGTTCTTTGATCGCCGACGCAGTGCATAAGCTCGAGGTCGATGACATCCAATCACACGTTGGTGACTTCTCAAAACTCTGGTACTTCGTTTCCGAGCACTCTAGAGAAATCGGAAGAGTTGCGTGTCCATCATTCTGCGATCAATTTGGTCAGGCAACCCGTTTAAGTTCTGTTTTAGATGGCCTTAGTGAGTATACAAGACAAAGCGAATCGCTTCTCTCAAAAGACCCGAAACCGTTATCATTATACGCCTTAGCTGCAGATGGAAAACACCTCATCTATTGTGCGGCAATACTAAAGGCAAGAAAAAATACAACAGTGATACGCCGGCTGAGTCCCCAGTAACGGATGGACATAGTTCCGGAGAGCTAACAGACGGCTATCGTGCCGTAAAAGGAGTTATATTATGCATGGCGAATGAGATCGTGATTGGAGGGGAGGCTAAGCAGGAGGGGATGGACAAAGAAACTCACAACACAAACGCCATTCGGGCCGGCTCCTAGCCATAGCAGTAAGCGTGTCCAACCAAACGTGTTCATCGTCCTTAGGACCCCAGCCTGGCAGCCGGGATGCATCAACCGACGCCAGTTTCGAAGTAAGTGTTTTCATTCCTCTCGACCAAGTCATGTCTTGACCTGCTCTCCTCCTCTTCCAACCGCACCCACAACGCGCAAACAATGCACTTCGCGGGAGTCGATGTGCTGGCATGCGCAACACGTGGCCCAGCCATCGGAGCCTGGTGTGTGATATACCGGTGCTGAGCGGTCCACTCGCTCATCCTGTACCAAATACGCGACGTCGAACACGCTCATTTCTCACGCGGTGCTGCCACCAGACATGAGCTAAGCTGCGAAGGTAGCGATGATCTAATGTGACGAGCCACTTTATGTCTGTCGACCTGATGGGCCAGGTTTCAAAACCGTACAGGAGGATTGAACAGACGGCTGCGTTATAAACTCTGCCCTTCAGGGCGAGAGTAATGTTGCGTCTGCGCCACAGGTGGCGGAGATTGGCACATGCACTTCGAGCTTTTGCTATACGGTTCGTAACCTCATTTTCGATCCCACGGGCGTTAATATAGCTGCTCAGGTACTAGAATTCCCGAACGACTTCTAGCGGAAAACCACAAAGCGTTAGCGCAGGGTTGGGTCCCTGCCAATCAAGGAGAAGAACTTTACATTTTGATGGAGCAAAGCATAGCCCAAAATGACAGACAGCCAGTGCTAATCGGTCCAGTACTGCTTGACATGTTTTTGAGCTGTCACAGATTAGGACAATATCGTCCGCGTACTCCGGGTCAAGAAGTCGCTCACTAGGAAGTAGCTCCACACCTTCTAAGTCGTGTCCAGCGAACGCTGTTTTCATGACTACATCAATAGCGAAGTTGAAGAGGAAATGTGACAGCGGGCAACCTTGACTCACCGCTGGGGATACTGAACGGTGGCGACAGTCTGCCATAAACCATTACTCTGTACGAAGTATGCGCGTACAGCGATTTGATAATGTCTAGTATTTTTCAGGCACACCTTTCCTCAGCAGACAGTTCCAAAGGGCACATCGATCGACTGAGTGGAAGGCACATTTTATGTCAAGAAACACGACAAAGGTGGGTCGCCAATAAACATGGCAGTGCTCCAGCAATTGACGCAAGGTGAAGATGTGGTCGATGCAGCTCCGACCTCGACGAAACATCATCATCATCATCATTATACACGTCAGCTAAAGGTAGGACACACCTCTGCTACTGTGCCGCAATACATAAAGGAGAAGGAAAATAAATAAAACAGTTACATGCCAGCTGAGCTACCAGCAACGGATAGGCATCGTTCCGGTAAGCTACCAGCCAGCTACTAGGCAAAAAGAAAAATTATTGTGTTTTACGCTAAGAAATGATATCGTACGTGGAGGAGGGGGGGGGCTAAAAGGGATGGGGAGGGACAAAGAAACTCACAGCACAAACGCCACTGAGGTCGGCTCCTTGCCATGTCAGCAAGTGCATCCAGCCAAACGTGTTCACCGTATTTTGGATCCCAACCAGGGAGCCGTGACGCTCCAACCGAGGCCAGCGCAGAAGTGAGGGCCTTCATTCCTTTGGACCAAGTCATCGCTTGGCCACCTCTCCTCTTCTTCCATCCACATCCGCGGTGAGCAAACAACGCACGTCCTGGAAGTCGGTCGGCTGGCATGCGCAACACGTGGCCGAGCCATCGGAGCCTGGTGCGTGAAATAACGGTGCTGAGCGGTTCAGTTCCTAGTACTGTGCCGTAAACAAGGCGTCGAACACGCTCGTTGCTCACGTGGTGCTCCCACCATATGTGAGCCAAAATGCGAAGGCACCGATGGTCGAACGTAACTAGCCTCTTCATGTCCACCGATATTAGGGTCCAGGTTTCGCAACCGTACAGTAAGGTCGAACGTACCACTGCATTGTACACGCTACCCTTCAGGGCGAGAGTAATGTCGCACCGCCGCCAGAGGTGGCAAAGGTTAGCAAAAGCACTTCGAGCTTTTACTATACGGTTCGTGATCTCATCTTCGATCCCGTGGGCTGCGCTTAACAGGCAACGACGTCTGTCTGGTGGCGGTCGTTTATCGACCTCCATCCTCTACACCCGAGATGGACTTCAATCTCGCGTCTGCGCTGAGGCTTGTGATCAGCAGGAGATACAGCCATATTCTTATCGCTGGTGACTTCAATATCCACGCTCTGGATTCCCAAGCAACACCTACGGAACAGTTCAAAGCGGATCTACAAGACCTTGTCTCCAGTTTTCCGCTTTATGGCCATATCGACAATCCCACCAGATTCAGAGCAGCAGAAAGGCCGTCCATCCTGGACCGGATATTTACCAACGAAGAACTCATGCTCGAGAAAGTAATCATCGACGCTCCTTTGGGTTGCAGCGATCATGCAGTTTTACTCTTCGATTATATATGCTACGCAGAATACTCTGCGGATACTACACGGGAAAGCCGAGTTATCATACGGTACGATGAGCTGGTTCGACTTGCAGAGACAGCCAACTGGAACTTTCTGACAGACGAAGTACCGACAATCGCATGGCCACATTTCGTCAACCAATTTAGCACTCTCGTCGAAGAGGCATCCGAAACTAAGGTTGTCCACTCGAAGAAGACTGTTTCATTTGTCCGAAGTAGGACACGGAAATGTATGGCAGTGAGGAACTCGGCCTGGCGTATCTATAAGGAACACCTGAGCACGGAGAGCTGGACGGCCTATGCAATTCAACGTAATCATTGCACTCAACTCGTTCGTGAAGATAAACTGACATACCAGCAGCATCTGACGGAGCGCATGGTTTCGAATCATAAGCTGCTCTACCAACATGTAAACAACCTGCGCAAGGTGAAACGGGGAATCCCTCCTCTTCAAACGCCAGATGGCATGACGCTGACTACGGAGGATGCGGCGAACGCCTTGTGGCTGCAATATGCTTCGAACTCTCAATGCATTCCTTGGTCATCTGTTTCTTTGTCAGCATCTGTTTTACAACCAAAACGTACGCACATAACTTTCACGGCGGGGATGG